GTGCCACCAAGGACTTCAAGGACCACACAGCTCTGATCTGTAGGGTAGCTACCCCCTTGGGATACTCAGTTAAAACCTCCAGGCTAATATGTCGGGGGGGGGGGGGATCTTTTGTGGGAATTTTCTTCCTCCCCCCCTCCCTCCCTCCCTCCCTCCCTCCCTTCCTTTCCTTCCTCCTTTCTCCTTCCTTTTCTTCTCCTTCTTTTTGTTTGTCTGTCTGTCGATTTGTTTGGGTTCTTGAGACACGGTCTCACTGTGTAGCTCTGCCTGTCCTGGAATTCACAATGTAGACCAGGCTAGCCTCAAATCACAGAGATCTTCCAGCTTGAGTGTTAGGATTAAAGGTGGGCACCACTGTGTTTGGCCTTCTCTCCATTTCTCGAATCCACTCCCATATTCATTGGGGGATTTCTCCCCTCTGTCTTGTGCTAAATAGATAATTACTATGCGGGAGATGACTGCACCTCACTGAGGAAACAGCTGAACAAGGCCTTGCTGATGGCTAAGCCTTTCCAGCACTGGGACCTTTGAGGGCTTTCTCTGTGCAGGTGTCTGGTGTGTGCAGCAAGCAGGGCACTGGCTGTGAAGTCAGGCTTGGGTTGGAATCTCATGCCAGCTATTGATCAGAAAGACAACAATTTCTCTGTTAAAGGTGGAGATTCAAGAGGTCCATCTCAAAAGAGGAAGGCAGGGAAATAATGTCATCCTAAGATATGGCCTCTTGGAAGAATTCAGGCAACAGTCACTCTCTGTCTTCCTGTCAGGAGAAGGTAGACTGGGCAAACATCTCGGCACTGGAGACTTCACTTCCTTTCAAGAATTTAAGCTGGGTGGTGGCAATGCACGCCTTTAATCCCAGCGTTCCAGAGGCAGAGGCAGGCAGATCTCTGAGTTTGAGGCCAGCTCTACAGAGCAAGTTCCAGGATGGCCAGGGCTACAGAAAGGAACCTTGTCTCAAAAACAACTCAAACAAACAAATGAAAAAGAATTTAAGAATGGACTGGCAAAATGGCTACATGGGTAAAGATGCTTGCTGCCAAGCCTGACAACGTGACTTACACCAGAACCCACATGATGCAAGGAGACACGAATCCCACAATTGGTCCCGATTTCTATATTCATACCTTGGCCTGCGCCCCTCCCCCAAATACATAATAAATAACTAAATGTAAAAGTTAGGGACGAGTCTAAGAACAGAATGATACACAATAACTAAAAATTAAAAAGAACTTAAGAATGCGCCCAAGAGCAAGGTCCTAGTTAGAAAGAAAACCCCAGGCAAATTTAAACTTCGCAGCTGTTAATTAGCAACTTGGCCTGGGTGTTTATTGTGTTTAGGTTTAATTTTCGGTAGAGATGTGTAAAAAGAAACACAAATGGTTTCATGACATCACCTTCTAAGAATCGCTGTCCCGCTAGACTCAGATGAAAAAGATACTTGTTTGTTTTTATAACTCTAGATCTGTTATCTTCCTTGCCCTGCTCCTATGGAGTGTTGGCCCCTCCTACTCTCCATCATTAGCCAGCTGTGATGGGAGACAAGATTCCTATCAGCAACTTGTCAGCCCAGAGAAGGAAGAAAAAAATGAAGAGAACACTACGTCCTCCTCTTTTCTTTTTTAAGACGAGGTCTCATGTAGCCCAGGCTGGACTCACTGTGAAAGACTTTGACCCTCCTCCTTCTTCACCTGTTGAACGCCGGATTATAGTGTCTGCTTTTACGCAATGGTGAGGATCGAATCCAGGGACCTACCTGTACCAACTGCACCAACTGTACTACCTGTACCTAACTGTACCAAGGAGCCCCACCCCTGCTCGCTACCAGGTTAGCTTAGCTCTATGAAAAGGCTTTTGTTGTTGCTCTGGCCTTGGAGCAAAGCCAGGGCTGTGAGCATTTACACAAGAGTTCCACCACTAAGCTGCATCCCAGCCCCCTAAACACCTCTACCAGCTGACACCTCTTGTTACAAAGGTATTTTAGGACAGTGACGTTCAGCCCTGATTTTGAGGCCATGTGAATTACTAAATTTTGGTGAAACTGTTTTTTAACAACAATTGGAAAAAAAAAAAAAAACAAACTACTGACATTGAGGGTAAAACGGATCCTCTTATGTATCTGCTTAATTAGAGGCGCTCACAGAGAAGCCTAGCACAGACTAATGTCACAGTGGGCAGAGTGGGACGGACGACATGAGCGGTCACGAAACTCAGAAGTCCTTACCCGCTGAACAGATCTGCTCCTGAGTGGTTGGCCAGGGTATGGGGGTGGGCAGGGCGGGGCAAAGCATGCATGGAATCGTAGCGAGATGATTCTGTGTAACAACAGAGCAAAACAGGAAATCTTCAAAAGGCGCAAAACGTCCTGAAGAGAACTTTGGCAAACTCTGGCCGTGACAGGCTTTTTGTGGTAAGAGACTGGGTGTAGCTTTTCTTTTATTCCAAAATTCATGCTATTTTCAGGTTTTTCACCAAGATTGTGGTGTGTAGCTTTTTTAAGGAGCATAATAATAATAATAGTAATAGAAGAAGAGGAGGAAGAAGAAGAAGAAGAAGAAAGAAGGAGGAGGAAGAAGAAAAAGAGGAAGAAGAAGAAGAAGAGGAGGAGAAGGAGGAAGAGGAGGAGGAGGAGGAGGAAAAGGAAGAAGCAATAACCATCTTTTTACATTTATTTATCGTGTGTGTGTGTGTGTGTGTGTGTGTGACCACAGGCTCATGACAAGGCACACCTGTGGCAGGATTCAGTCCTCTCCTTCCACATGCAGACCCTGGGGATCAAGTATCTTTTACCCACTAAGCCATCATCTCATGGGCCTAATAACCACATTTTTGATAAGGAGATAAACACACCCCACGAGACCATATGGGATCTGGGTTTGGAAGCACGCTGTCAACGGGATGCATAGGATCCACACACAGTAGATCTCCTAGCTCCAGAAGAATGACCTGGGGAGCAGCCTTATGGCGGTCCCCTCACAAATTCACTGGATTTCTAGGGGACCTGAGAACAGCCAGAGAGCGGGAGTCCCTCTCCCAGGGACAGTGGCTGCAATGCTCTCTCACCCTGGGTGTCATGAGATGCAGGAAATGGAACACTCAGCATCACTGAGCCTTGGAGCCCACACGCACTGCTGTGACAAGGACTTCTCACGAAAGAAGCTCTTGCCTCCTCCCGCCCCAATTTTCCTTTCTCCTGTTCACACGGAGTACCGTTTAGGAATAGCATTGGCTGGAAAGAAGGAAGAGAGAGCAGACTGGACTGTCCTCTGCACTCTCCTGTAAGCAAAGCGCCCACCCACCCACGTCTGAGTTTTCAGTAGGGAAACATCTTCAGGTGGTTAGGACAGGGACTGTTCTCAAAACCCCTCAGGCCTTCCTCCTGTGATGTGGCATGTTTGCTTTGTAGGTTTCAGGCATGTTTGCTGACGTCAGCTACCCATCAAAGTTTAAAATAATAATAGTCAAAAGAAAAACAGCTCCTTTCTGCCAGGCAGCCACGCTCTGCCAACTTCTATGTTCTGAGTTAATAAACGTCCAAGAGCCACCTCCCCTACAACCTTAGGGGGGAGAGAAAAAAACACACAGTAATTTAAAAACCACCAGGTCAGCCCATTGCCAGCATAAACCATTCAGACAGGTGGCATCTCTCACGCTCTAATGAGGATTTTACCTCTGCCTCAAAAGGAAGGCTGTCATTGCGCCTCGTGTTCATGGAATCAAATGATTGTCTGAGGACAGGGAGTTTCTTTGGGTCCCTTCCTCATGTGAATGAGGCCGCAGGACCAAGTGTGGGGATGTTTACTGCATCAGACGAATGTAAACAAGAACAGCAGCAGCAGCAACATAATTATGCCAAATAAGGTCCTTCAAAGAGTATCAGTTAAGAAAACCGCCTTTTCATTTTGATTTTACTTGGAAATCCGAGAAGAGTCACGTGTGTTATAATGCCACAGCAGCATCCGTGTTGGGACACTTTGTGAAAAGGAAATGTCTCAGCAGTGACTTGTGGAGTTCGGGAAGACATGCTCCTGCTGGGGGCACTCCTCCGACAGCTGAGCTCTCAAGGGAAGAGACAAGAGCTACACAATCCCAAGGCCTCTGAATTTATCTTTGCCTGTCGTTGTGGAAGTAGGAGCCAGCCCCTCGCTAGTTCAGTTGTACCTCACTGGCAGCACACACACACACACACACACACACACACACACACACACACCACTGTTGATACTTCCTCCGGACACGTTAGACCCATATTCCTCAAAAGGTCCTGGGCTCCATAGGGAAGCGGACCAGTAGGCTCCTTCCACAGGTCGGATGGCTCACTACAGCTGGTAAGTTTCAATACAAACGCCCTGAACAATTACACCGAGCACCCCACAGCACTACCACCAGCCACAGCAGACAATGCCACCCTCCTATCTCGCCTGCCACAGGCAGGGGGACTGGCCAGGCAGGAGCAACTCAAATTCTCAGCTCACTTTCCTGTGCCTTTACCATGGCTCCCTGCTATGGTGAATCTATTTGTTTACCCACAGCGGCCTATCAGATTGCTGCTTCCCCCACACACACACACCTTGGAGGCCGTTTGCTGCAAACTCTGATGTTTGCACTTGAAGTGAATTGACACTTGCAGTTTACTTGAACCAGAACCTGATCTCCAACCAAAATTACTGAAGTTGGAGCTGGGTAAAATTCATGAAGGTCATGGCTGACTCTAATCATAGAACTGGACTAAACACTGTGCAAAGATCTTCACTGTCAAGTTATAGCTGACACTAGAATGTTCCTTAAAACAGCAAAGTGGGCTGCAACTTCCTTTTTTTTTTTTTTCTGTGATTGAGTCAGTGAATAGGCGTCATGAACTAGAAGTCAGCGCAGTTGTCTTTGCAGAAACACAAACAGCCAGATTCCTTTTTTTTTTTTACCCTGGATTATGTGTGCCAGGATTCTATAATTCAAAATGGCTATGTTTGGGGTGGAGTTGAGGGGGCCGGGGGTGGGGTGGGAGGTGGACTTTTAACACCTTGTATCTAGTAGGGAGAATAAACACAGCATTAGATTTCCGTGCGGTTTGGCCTTTGACAGAAATAAAAGACAAATGATTTCGCAGATGGGTAATTCCCAAACCTGAAGAAATGTAAACAGCCAGGGTTTCGGTGCCTATGGATTTTATCAAAGATGTTAAGCAAGGCAGAGATCGACACTAGTGCGTCCTCTCTGGCTAGTTTTAACACGCTTCCAGTCACAATTAACATTCAAGGAATTTCCTTCTCACCCAAGTGTTTTCTTTCACCGGCACTTTAGGCCACAGACCATAGTTCTAGCTGGCGTCAGTCCGTCCCATACGGAGGAGTGCTTAAAACGTCCACAATGGTTTTCTCTTTTCTTGTTTTGAAAATGGGCTTGGACCTTGTCGATTTACCTAAGGTGTTTTAAAATTAGGGAAGGGTTCTCACCTCTTTTTCCCTCGGAAGCTTAAGAAGTTTAGGGCTTCCTTGCCCAGGGCCCTCCTACACACTCCTCCTGAGTCAGAGGAGCATGCTCCCTGGCAGGTGTCCTCTCCACTCTTCAGACCCATCCGCGGGAACTCTGAGCTCACCCCTCAGCCTCACTTCACGTCCCTGAGCAGGCCAGGCCTGTGCACGCTGCAAGCGTCTAGGCTCGCTCCCTACTACTCCTACACAAGGGATTCGCACACAGGGGGTACCGAGTCCGAATCTTGACTGTGCATGGAGCTCAGCCCAGTATCCGAGTCCTCATCGTTGCCGGGACAGCTCTTAGCCATTCCCCGAGCCTGGTCTACCCACATTTCTGCACAGATCTGAGGCTGGGGTTCCCGCGAAGGTTCGCCAGAACCCAGAGCCCCATCATTCACCACCGTCTGCTCCAAAGTGCGCAAAGTCTGGAGAAGGCCCTGCAGCTCGCGCTCCTTGATGTCCCTCTGATGCTGGCTGTAATCCAAGTCAGCCTTGACCGCCTCCAGGTCCGTGCTGAGCCTCAGCCCGATGTAAAGGCTAGTGCTGAGCTGCGTCCTGACCCGCTCCTGCTCCAGCGACAGCTCGCCATCCGGACCGCCGTCTGGCTCCGGGGGCTCCTCTCGAGCCGCCAGTTCCTCACTGCGCCGCCTCATCCACCGCTGGTTCAGCTCCTCCTGGATCTCGGTGGACAGGCGCTCCAGCAACTCCTCCTGTTGGGCGCGCTCCTCTTGCAGCCGCACCAGGTCGTCGCAGCGCCGGGCCAGCTCCTCCAGCGCGGCCGCTTGAGCCTCACTGTCCAGAGATGCCACTGCCTCCGTCCCTTTCTCCGCCAGCGTCGCCTCCTCGGGTTCCTCTCCAGGAGCCGGCCCGTCGAGATCGATGCCAGCCCCTACCAGGTAAGTATCCTGAACGTAGTTGACTCCGTGCCGCCGCATGCGGTCCAGGTGCACCTTGGCCTCGTAGCGGTCGATCTCACGGTCCAGCTCCCGGAGCCGCTGCACCTGTTGGCGGATAGTGTGATCCTGCGACAACACCAGATGCACCAGCGTCTCCATGCGCTCCACCGACGCGCTCTCCTGGGTCCTAGGCGGCGACGAACAGGACGAGGCGGTGGACGACGACGTGGACGAACAAGGCGACGGCGACTGCTGCTGGCGCCTCCGGTTGAGCTTGGCCAGCTTTCGGAAGGCCTTGCGCACCACCCGCCGCTGCTTCTCCTGGGTCATGGCCAAGCTGGGCCGCGCCGGGACTCCCCGGGCCAGGCAGGGGCGCTCGCGGCTGAGCACTACCCGCGCCTCGGCGCTGCGTGGCCCGGCGTTGGGCAGCGATGCCTCGCTGCGCACCAGCACGAAGCGCACATTCTCCTGCTCGTCGCCCCAGGCGGTCCAGAGTCGCAAGATTCGCGTCTTGTTGGGCAGGATGCGCTCAAAGCCGCGCCACTTCTCCACGATGCAATAGCAGTGCGGGGGCCCACATAGCATGCCCTGGGGCATCACGTCGTCGTCATCCTCGTCGTTTTCGTCCGGGGGCTCGGGCTGCTCCAACGGACTGGAGGGGTCCTCCGCCTTCCCCCGGCGCTGGCCTCGCCGCTGTCTGCGTCGCCGCCGGCAGCCGTCCTCCAAAAGCACCCGTACCACGTCTGAGCAGGTGGTGCGGCGGGAGAGCCCGGACACCAGCTTTTCCTCTTGGCAGATCCACACAGATATCTTCTTTTCCGAAGGATCCATGGTGCGACTGGGACGCACACAAAGGGCAGGGTCAGGCTAGGCGTTACTGGGGCGGCAGGGCCAGCGCGGGTAACCTGGCAGTTCCCAACTGAAGGAGAATCCGCGACCCGGTCTCCGGAGTCACTAGCCTTTCTCCCCCGCTGCGCACTGAAATCAGGCGGCGACTTCGGCAGGAAAGGCTGCTCTCGGTGGCGGGCTTTCCCGAGGCAGCGTGCGGTGGCTTGGGTTCCAGCAACTCTGGCTCTGCCCGCGGTGCCCGAGGCCTCCGGGTTTTGCTCCTCCCCACCTGGCTCCACCTCTTCCCGCCCCCTGCGCCCTGAACTGCGGCTGAAAGCACCGCAGGCGCGGCACCCAGACTTGCCCCTCCCAGCCCCGCCGCCGGATCTGCCCCTGGCTCGGGTTGCTGGCGTCGGGAGTCCAATTCTGAGTTTCCTCCACCCGGAGCAAAGAAGGACCTCCTTGACACAAGGCCTGGAGCCCGTGCCTCACCTGGCATCTGCTCTGCGCCCCTCTCGGCTCTGCCTTGCCTCTCGTCGAAAGCTGGCTAGAAACATCTTAACTCGACTTCCTCCTTTTTCAGCGCTCCCAGATGCCCGTGATCTTGCTTCTTCAGGGCAAGCCCTCTGCACACCGCACTTTGCACAGGCGGGGAAACGGAGGCACCCAACAGTTTCTAGTGGGGACGTTGTGGTCCACTACCTGACCGGCTCAGGTTTGTAAGCGCTGTCTCTAAGTCTTCCAGTCCTCCTCAACCACAGTGGGGTCCGTGAGCAGATATGCAGTGGTCTGACGGCGGTGCTCCATTCTGCATAAGTCAGAACTGTGGCCCCTCACTTCCATTTCCCATAAACTTCTCGACAGAAAAACTTACAGAGTCTGGGGCTAAGGCCTAAATTGATCAACAGTCCTGCTTTCAAAGGGGGAAGTGTGGCCCTTCCTATGACTGGTTCTGCTGTTTTCTGCATCTAGATGCGCTCCGGAAATGCTAAGAGTCAAGTGTCAGAAAACAAATCCAAAGTCACAATGCGGAGCTTCTTAAACCCTCTCAGGGCAAGACTTGTTCTGGGCTTGTCCTGGGAAGCACAGGACTAACAGCTCATTCCCCTGCCGCAAGACCCTGTATGTCTCACTATTTCTTGTAAAGTACTTTTGTTGATGGAATGATTCCTTCCTGGAACATTTGCTGAGTTCCCACTGTTCTCTGCTGGCCAATGCAAGGGATGTAATGATGAGTAAATTTCCTGGCCTACAAGGAGCTCACCGTAGCTAATTTCCACCACCAGGTCTTCTGGGTTCTGAGCAGGGAAGTCTCTATGTATTGGGGGAGCATGCCTGGATTCTGCATAGTAGCATAGATCCCATCTGGGAGAGTCCGCAAAGGCTTCCCATCAGAGGTACCATCTGGGGCAGGACAAAAAAAAAGAACTATTGGAACTTTCCAAAGGACAAAGAGGTGGCACAGGGCAAGCAGAAGGAATCAATGTGCAAACTAAAGAATCAAGGCAGTGTGACAGTCACCAGGCTATAAGGGGTTAAGTGACAGAAGAATCTGACAAGGATGAACTAAGAGAAACCAGGTCAGGAAGGGTCTGCAATGTCATGCACATGCTTTTGAGTTTATCAGAAGCATGATGCAGGTGCTGGGGTTACACGGGATGCTTTTACTGACTGTGACCTTAAGGAAAATATGTAATAGCTCTATATCTCATCTGTAAAGCGGTGATAACTCAAAAGTAACTGCTATAGGGATTATATGGCAGAACCTGGTATGTCTACAGCAGAAGTTTTTTATTAAAGGGTTAGAAACCAGTGAGGTATATGTTTTTTGTTTTTGTTTTTTGTTGTTGTTGTTTTGGTTTGGTTTGGTTTTTTTGGTTTTTTTGTTTGTTTGTTTTTTGCTATAAAATGGGTTACCATGGAGTTGGTAGCTGAAAGCAACACCCACACCTGATTTCACTTTTCTGAAGGTGATACGTTTTTCTGGGCTTGACTGCTCAGAGGGTCCCAAGCTAAAGGCAGGGGGTTTCAGCTGGTTAAAGTTTGGGCTGGAGAGGGAAGTCACTTCAAAGCCATTCAGCCGTGTTTCCAGAAACCTCTGCACTTCCTCTGCAGCACTGGAGCCCCCATCTTCATGGTGGCCTTCATGAGAACCTCTCTCAGTCTCTTACAGACTCTTCCCATGGGGCAGTGTCTGCCCCAGTTAAAGCACCAGTGGCAGGGCAGAATCACCCAGTCCTGTTGGCATCTCATCATCCTGGCATCATCCTCCGCTAGCAGGAAGAGAAAATTCTGCTTGTAAAAGGCTGGCTTCATCAGACAGACCCACCTGGAGAAACTCTCTATATTAAGATCGACTGATTAGTCACTGCACTGGCTAGATTTATGTCAACTTGACACAAGATAAAGTCATCACAGAGGAGAGAGCCTTGATTGAGAAAATGCCTCCATAACACTGGGCTGTAGGGAAGCATGCAGGGTCTTTTCTTAATTAGTTATTGGTGGGGGAGAATCCAGCTCACTGTGGGTGGTTCCACCCTGGACTGCTGGTCCTGGGTTCTATAAGAAAGCAGGCTGAGCAAGCCGTGGGGAGCAAGCCAATAAACGGCACTCCTCCATGGCCTCTGCATCAGCTCCTGCCTCCAGGTTCCTGCCCTCCTCACTGTTTTTGATGCTGACCTTAATAGGGAATTATATGGATGAAATAAACCCTTTCCTCCCCAAGTTGCTTTTGTCTTGGTGCCTCATCCCAACCATAGTTACCCTAACTAAGACAGTCACCTGAACTACATCTGCACAATCATTTTGATTGTGTGATGTATCAGTCACCAGAGCAATGGCAGGAGTGGGAATGGTGGAGCTCATGAGGCCAGCCTGGGATTGTCCTCACCAGGGAGCTTAGTGATAACATGGTCAGATCTTCACCGTTGAACCATCACACTGTGCAGGGACCATAGGGTAGGGAGGGGTGTAGTGACAGGCTAGAAGGCCCTGAGACGATCCCATTCATGAAAAGAAGAGATGGCAAGCGACATTGCCTCTAGAGAAACGACTCATGGTGATGTGTGCATGGTCTTTTAGCAGTGTTTCAGACGAGGGGTTCTAGAGCTCACCCCAACTACATTTGCACAGAGGAGAAAGGAATAAAACAAACTCACCTCCTCCGGTCCTCTCATTCAGCAGAAGCAGATATCAGGAGAAAAGGACTCCCACCCACCAAGCAGGCCATCGGTCCTGCAGTGGATACCAGTGGAGTGCCTGCTAACTCGGCTTCACTCTGACACTGTCGTCTACTCGGAGAGATCGCAGGTTGAGAGCTCAGCCCCTCAGATGACAGCCACAAGCCCAGGCTTGAAGTGGGAGTCAGACGGAGAGCTGCAAGGAGAAGGAATGAGGGGCTTCCATATCATCATCCAGGAACCTCCATGTATTCAGCTCTTCAAGGTCCTCCGACCTGATCATCTGGGGGAGTCCTGTGGAGGTGTCATTAGGTAGGCTTGATGGATGAAGGCATTAGCCATTGATGGCCAACTTAACCTTCAGCCTCTCTGCCCTCCCAGGATGTTGAGGAATGGGAATGAGGGTTGCATCCCTCTGAGTCTGGCTGGCTCCTCTGGCAACCATCCCTCCCACCCGGTATTCATTCTATAGGCTTTCCAAAATATCATCTCATGGGTGCTTGCAAGGCTCCCCAAAAGCAATAGCTTGTCTGCCATTTCCATCACTCTGGAGCTGCTTTGAAGAATCAAGGACAAAAGAACAAATGTTCGACCTCCCCCCCCACCCAAAAAATGCCATTCTTGCTCGAAATCATTTAGGGAATTACAAAAACTACAATGGCTCCAAGCCAGGAACTCATAAGCAAAAAGAAATACGGGCAAATAACTGCCAAGTTCAGACCATATATAGGGTGGTGGTCCCATAAGAACAGAATGGAAGCGCTCGAAGGGTCTTGTTGCCTAGGGACGCTGTAGCCATCCTCACGCCCTCGCGCTGTCTGTGGGTCATATAAACAATTCTGCCAGTGCTATGAAAGCAAAACACAGACAGTTTTACTACTCAAGAATGGAAATGAGCGACTGTGTTTGTTTTGCCTTTATGGTTTGTGTTCTTAGTATACTGCACTCTTGGTTGTTATTCTAAAGCGAACTTGTACTTACACAAACACAGTTGGCTACAGAACAGTGCCCTGCCCTGTGCAGGAAGCAGCGCAGACATCTCCTGTTTACTGGAGCTCTCCACTGAAAGGCTTTCACTTATGCTTGATTTCATCTTGTGTTGTCTTGTCTCTCATGACCCTAGCAGCGATAGGGGTGTGTGTGTGTGTGTGTGTGTGTGCTCGCTATACCATCTAGGTTTGTGTGAGCGTGTTCTGCATGTTTGCACAATGACAGGCTCCCCTGCTACTGCATTTCTCAGAACAGATCCCTTTATCCTGTTGTTCGGCAATCTAAAACTGTATGTCACATGGACTAGAGAGAGGACTCGGTAGTCAGGAGTGCTAGCCCAGAACCAGAGTTCAGTCCCCAGCATCCAACTGGCAGCTCAAACCATCTGTAACTCTAATTCTGGGGAATTTAACCCCTTCTTCTGGCCTCTCTGGGCTTCTCTACACATGTGGTACAAATAAACTTATACACACACACACACACACACACACACATATAATAATCAAATCTTTTTAAACCCTGTACACCATATCACAATTGCCACTGGTTTTGTAAATCACAGCCTTCTCATGTGGGTAAAGAACAATAGTAGAACCTTTACAGAGTTGACATTACATAGAACAAAACAATGAAAGGTATATAAAATATGTCCAGGTTAACCATTTTCAACTTGATTGGGTTTGGAATCACCTGAAAGACACACCTCTTGGTATATCTGTGAGGGTGCTGTCAATGAGTAACCAAACAGAAAGACCCCTGAATCTGGGCAGCACCATCCCATGGACCAGGGTCCCAGAATAAAAGGCACTTAACAGACACTAAATAAAGCACAGCACAAGGAGGCACACAAGGGATATTTGCTGTTCTTAACACCATGGAAATACCCATCCATTAAGGGATGACTCCACAGACAAGATGTTGCCCGTAGCTCTCAAGGTTTGCAGCAATTAAATCTGGTAAAGTAGATTTATTTGTCTAGGCAACAATGAATCTCCAACATGCACTAACCAGGGCAAAATGACAGTTTCAAAAGGATTCACATGAGAGGATCTTGCTTGTATTATAAAAGACACACACGGAACACATGCACATACATAAAATCACTCCCTGTGTTTTCCAGGAGTCCAGAC